GAATAAATACATAAGAAAGAACAAATCATATTTTTTTGACTTCAAAATTTATTGAAAACACACACACACACACACACACAACATTTTGATTAAAAATTATAAAATTCAATAAAATTTTATTTTTTATATTTAATTTAATGTATTTTAATTAATCGACAATATAATATGTGTTATCAAACTGAAATAAATATATTTAATTCGATCCCCAACATAACGCAGAATTCGAACCGTTCATATTCCTAAAATTTCTATTCACTTACTATTCATATACATAAAATTACTATTCAATTGATGACAATTTAAGTAATTTTTATGTGTGGCCTTTTTTGTTTGTTTTTGGGCATTAATATATAAATTTAACACTTTTTTTTTATTTTTCGTCCCTCATGTTGTAACTTTTTTTTTCAATCCTCAATTTTTCATTTGTTTTTTCATTTCCACACAATGTTTATATATTATATTTTAAAATTAATATATATTTCAGCTTATATTACTCTTATTATTTAAATTTCATTCTTTGAATTTATCATTTTTTATGAAAATTCTCATCCAATTAATATTTTTTATATAAAATTTTATTTACTTATAAATATAATTTATTTTTCTCTATATTTGAATTTTAGAATAAAATTTTAAAACATGATTTTTTTTCTTTTTCAAAAAATAAATTGGTATAATATATATCATGAATTCTTGAAATTTTTAAATGATAGTTGCATATATATATAAATATATAATTATTTTATTTTAAAAGGTTAAAAGTGTGTTTCAAATAATTTACCTCAGTTCATCGGCTATGGTCAATATGTATAAAAAAATATTGAATCATTGTTTTTGTTAAAAAATAACCATATATCTTTCAACATAATATAAAATATTTAATTATGAATATTTTTTTAACATTATATAACCAATTTATTTGAAATAAAATAATTAAAATAATTTTTAAAGGAACCAACTAATTATTCAAACATAGTTTTTTATGCTAATTTTATTTATTATTATTTTGTAAATAAATATATAAAGACCAAATGCATATACTTTTTAAAAAATAATCTTCTCACCAACATAAAATAAGAATAAAATATTATTTTTTATTAGTTAATTTTTATGCAAATCTATAATTTTTATAAAAATCTATCCATTAATTATAACTTTATTTTTTGAAATATAATATTATGAAACTATGTTTTTAAAGTTTTTTTTAATTCTTGATTAATATTTTAGTTAAAATTATTATAATTTTTCGTTTTAAAAACAATGCATAAGGAAGAATGATTTATTTTTTTTAAACAAAAAATTTATGAAAAACATTAAAAAATTAATTAAATAAAAAATTATAATTATATAATTATAAAATAATTTTTATTCTATGAACACACAGCGTAGCTCAAGCAATTGGCTAGTTACTATACTATTTTGAAATGCATGTTTTTTTTTTTTAATTAACACAGTTTTTAATATTTTAATAAAAAAATATTCCAAGAATATTGATGACTACTCCAACGGTCAGTGGTAATTGTGGGCTCACCGCTGGACCAAGACGACGAACGATGAGAAATTGGATGACTCCGATTGACTCTCTGGGATTGAAAAGGGAGATTTTTTTTTTTTCCCCCTTTTTAAGCAAGATCGAAACAGGAATATTGAAAAATAGATGGCGCATGTTGCCTCATTAGTGATGGTATCAAATATATGTTGTCAAGTGTGTTCCGCTATACCCTTGGTAAGGAAAATTATATATATATAAGATTAATATTATTTTCACATAATTCACTTATTGAAAAAAATATCAATTATTGAATGAATATCTAATATATTAAATAAGTAGATTTCGTGAGTAACTCTTGTAAATTTAATGATTGGTATTTTTCAATAGAAATTACATGGTGTAAATGAATAGATACATTTGTTGGATACTATTAACCAATGCCTCTAATCAAGAGATTAATCATGGTGTCATGGATAGTTAAATACTGTAATAATTAAGCACTATCTAATATCAGATCACATCTTAAATTTTTTTAAAAAATTGAAAATTAAACAATATTTAATATCCAATCACATCTTAAATTCAAAAATGATATCCTTTCAATCATCAGACCAAAATTACATATATATAACATTCCATCCAACATTTTAATAGAAACTTTAATACCACTCTACGTCTCCTTGGAGTTACCAAATTACACTTTTATATTTTTTATAATTAAATTAAATTTTATAATATTGCATATAAATGCCAAAAAAAAAAAAAAAAATCCTTGAATATATATATATATTTGAAAATTATAATAAATTGATGCTATAGAGTCATTCATTTTTTTACTTTAATAAATTTTACATCTCTAAACTTGGTTTCAAATTAACTATTCATATTACCATATTTTTCCTACTGGATATTATCATCAAATTAAAAAAAAAAAATTGCTAAAGCAAAATGCTCAAATGTTGTTTGGTCACTCTTTCTATATGTAGATTCAATGCCACTATAGTGTTATTGACTATGCTGTGACATTATGTAATTTTCAAGTATTTTATATGCAAGTTTTATGAATATCATATTTTGATTCTTATTGTTTTTAAACACTTTTATTTTGATATCCAACTTTATTTATACTATGTTTTGATCCTTAAATGAAGAAATGAGAGAGAAACAAAAATAGAGAAGTGAGAATAGGGAAAGTCACAACGAGACCTATTCCAATCAATTTGATCCTCGATCTTGCTTTCAATTTGTTCATCTTAAAAAGAAGGGTTTGTTTATAATGGCTATAAGTCATGAAATATTGGAGGAGTTAGATTAGGACTCCAAAGTTTTTTGAGTTTTTGAATTTGATTTAGATTTTTGTATTTTCTATTTGCATTAAAATGAGTTTTAAGGTTCTAATTAAACTAGTTTTTTTGGAGGTTCTAATTAAACTAGTTTTTTGGACTTATTTAAGTGATTTTAAGGTGTTTTGGGATATAAATGATAATAAAATTGGATTCAAAATATTAGAAACTAGTTATATTGATTTTCTAGCAACTTAAGTTTGCTCGGAGGTTGCGAGTAAACAATGTGTGGTTCATTTTTGTTTTTTCAAAAAACACTAGCCTTGGTGTGCCTAGTTCTCCAAGCTCGAGGATAGGGATGACAATTTGCCCGGCCCCAATGGAGCCCCGCCTCGCCCCACGTCAATTTTCCTAGGTCAATGTGGGGATTCCTCGCATTGACCAAGGAATAGGGCGGGACGGGGATGGGATTTGCCTCGCCCCGACCCGTTTGCCTCATTTCTTCTTTTTTTTTCATTAAAATTATAATTATATCCCATATAAAATCTATAATTAGTGAATTTTAGGGTTTATTTTCTATATAAATTATTATTTTTTTACTATAATTTAAAATTTGGTAGTAGAATTGGATAAAATGAGACGAAAATTAAATTTTTTTTTGTCCCATTTAAGCTCCATTTGCTCCGCAGGGATCCCCGTCCTCGTTTGGGGTGGGGATGGTATGAGAAATTTTTCCCTGTTCGGGGCACGGGGCCGGGACGGGGATGGCGATCCCCATCCCCGCCCCGCCCCGCCCCGCCCCATTGCCATCCCTACCCGAGGACGCATACTTAGCTTGTTTTTTATTTTTAATAATTTATTTTATTATTGAATTTGTGCAAAAATAATGAAAGATCAATTGCTATTTTTTTTGGGTTTCTCATAGAGTCAAGTGAGGGAGAAATATATATAATATGTTTTTATATTATAATGAATATATATTTGAAATTATATTATTCTTATTATTTAAAATTTATTTATTTGATTTTTCATCTTATACGAAAATTCACATCCAATTAATATGTAATTTTATTTTTTATAAAATTTTGTTTGCTAAAAAATATAATTTTTTATGTATAGATTTTGGAATAAAATTTTAGAACATAATTATTTTATTTTTTAAAATAAATTAATATAATTTATATGATGGATTTTTATAACTTTGAAATGAGAGTAGCATATATATATATATATATATATATATATATATATATATATATATAAAGATTAAATGTGTATTTAAGATAATTTGTCTTAGGTTTTTAGAAAAAAATAGTTTTAAAAATAATTAAAAGTTAAATGCAAAAAAAGAAGAAGAAATAATTGCTCTGCATTCAAGACCTGTGCTGAGGGCTACCCATATATGGCCTGAAAAAAGATTTAAGAAGAAAAAAATAAATAAAATTTAAATGTTTTATTTGCTTTTCTTTTATATAATCAAAATTTATCGAAATCAATGATGTAGTAATTTTTATTTTATTTTATTTTATTTCACATGTTCTAATTAATCTACAGCATAATGCAGATAACAAACTATTTCATACTATTTTTTTTTTCATGTTTTAAAGGGAGATCCTATGTTCCTAAGTCCTAACCCACACCGAAATTTGCTCTCAGTTAATCAACTTCTTATGATTGAATAACACGACTTTATTTCCCAAAATGCAAACTATAGTTTTAACTCCCTTCTTCCTCGCGCGATCCTAATGTTGGTTGTATGGACAAATTAATTGGGTTTGTGTCCTGCAATGGCGTCCTGAAAGATTGATCACTGTTACCATTTCCAACGAATGTTAATTTGGGCTTCTAAATTTTTAATTAGATGGAAACTCTAAATCCATCTATCAAGCTCAGGGGCACTTGATGACATTCCCTACCATCCTCTTGCTTCAGCGCAGAACACACAGAACTATCCCGGATGTCACACCTATGGAGATCCTTCCAATGATTTGGCCCTGGAATGTATGGTTTCAAAATGTAACTTCACTGTTCTTCTCCTTCTGCAAAAAGACATCTTTTATTTATTTTAGTACTTTTATTCATTTGCATTTGTATACCAAATTAATATCATTGTCTATCCATAGATAATCTATCAAAGATATATTTTTTGATGTCTTTGAGCCCTACATGAATCTAGGATACACAAATGATACAGATACCAAATATTTGACAATTTGAAAGAGCAATTATAAAGCCAGCCCTAACAATATTTGACAATTCAGTCTGTTTATAAAGTTCCCAAAGATAAATTAGTTCTTTTTCTCTGACTTTTCTGCAACTTGTCACACTAATTTAAAACATTCACTTTCTTTCTTCTTTTGAAAATACATCTGCCTCGTAATAATGATTTTTCCAAACAATTAAACTCCTTTATATGACCTCATAACCTAGCTACCATTCACCTTTTTACAATCTGTCCTGATCTCTCCACTACTTCCTGTTAATGGGCTAATATTTCCCATTTTAATCATTGATCGAACAAAATTCTGGAAGAAGGCTGTTTGGTTATTACTGAAGGTGTTGACAATAGAGATTGTGGCAGCACCAGTTGTGGAAAATAACTCTTGGTCTGATTGGAGAAGACCTTGATTGTTTTGTAGGTTGGTGAAGTAATTATTGTCAAATCCATCTGAAGTTGTGGGATCAAGGTTAGCCAAAGCAGTTCCACTCCCATTTTGTGGGCATATTTTTTGCAGAGTGGTCAAGTATGTTGAGTTTAATGTTGGGTCAGGGTTGCCTGTGCCATTGAAATTGTACAGCCTATTGCTAAATCTTCGACATTGGGCACGTCCAAATGTATGAGCTCCTGAAAAAAAAAAAAATGATATTAGTGTTGAAAAATCTGAATCTAATTTGACATATTACAAGTATAATTACCTGATAATGTGACAAGGTCATTGGTGTTTAGACCTACTGCAGAGAACTTTGCAGTAATGCTGCTTAGGCCTTCAGAAGGAGAGGGGATTGATGTATTGGCTCCAGCCTGATTTGCATTTAGACTATCCCTTCTTCCCAATAGTACATTCCATGAAGGACCTCCTGACTGCAAGCATCATCAGAAGTAGCATGTCATGGCTTCATGTTTTTTGGTCGGTCACAGAATATTTCTTTTTTAGAAACTTCTGAACTTAGACAGATCATATTGATATATCTAAGTCAGACAAAATGAAGAGCTTCGCAAAAAAGTTCACTTTATCGACTAATTAATTACCAGAGAAACTGAAGATTCGATAGCAAGTGCAAGAACGTCAGCGCAGGAGACAACACCAGGACAAGAATTCTCTACAGCAGTCTTGATGTTGTCAACAACATCGAAACCCCGAGCAGAGTTAACGTTGGGACCAGACAATTTTTCACTCAGTATGCTTGAACTGTTGTCTAGTAGAAGTGAAGCATCACATCCCTATCCACAAAATCAAATTAATTCATCAACATAATGTTAAATATTAGATAGAAAACCACTTCAAAGAAATTAAATTATGATATAATTGAGTTTACATTGACAAAGCAATCATGAAAATGGAGGCGAATGAGGCTGGCCCCAATCCGAGAATCAGATTGAAGAGCCTGCTGAACAACGCTTCTGACGATGCTAGACACATTAGGGCATGTGTTAGCATAAAATGTTGCATTTAATTGGCCATTAGATTGGTGCAGCATCATTGCTAGCAAAATTACTGTCACTGACATGAAACTAGTACTAGTAGAAGTATAAGACATTGTTGTTTCTCCTGAACAGAACAAGAAGCTAACAAACGGTTTCTCTAAGTCTCTAATTTAATGCTTTGGCGAGTCCTAAGTAAGCCAGCACATATATATAGAAAACTGTCATGACCATTATACTTAACTCGTATTCGGCAGGAAAACTCTATCGTTATTAATAATAAGATTAATCTTCACAAAAGCGAGTAATCAGCACAAATTTCCCTTTCAAATGTCTTCTCAGTGTGTCTATATATATATATATTTCTTCTAATATTAAAAGAGTTTATTTTAGGAATATCCAAATTATAATTTGGATAATCGTAAAATAAACTCTTTACGAAGAAATTTAGAATGAGATAAATTTATTGTATATTTTGATGTTACACTCGGTACATAAGTTAAATTGATTATAGAGAGAATAAAATTTTTAAGAATGGTAGCTAAAGTTTAGGGTCAACTCGTCCCTATTATTGACTTCTATATCTATACACGACCTAATAATGAAGAGATTCTACGTAATAAATAAGGGATTATAATCTAGATATTCCAAAAATAAACTCTTTTTCTCCTCCTCAAATTAGAGCATGAAGATTGAAAATGCCTAACTTGGTCAACGTAAACGTAAACCGATCTAGGCCTAAAGCTTTGGTGAAGTTGTCGACCAACCGATATTGAGAAGAAATCGATTGTGGTAATAAAAGCTTTGATTGAATGTTTTGGGGAATAAAGTAATAATTGATCTCAATGTGCTTAGCTCGTTTATGAAAAATAGGATTAGTGGCTATATGGAGTGTTGTCGATTGTCACAAAATAACGAAATAGGATAAGGATGATGAATACCCAAATTAGATAAGAGATGATGCAGCTAGACAATCTCACTAGCAATGGTAGCCATGACTCTATATTCAGCTTCAGCGGAAGAGCGAGAGACAACAAACTCGTTTCTTTAACCTTTAAGAAATGGGAGAAAATCTAAGAAAGATGATGTAACCATTAGTAGAGCAATGAGTAGTGGGGGCACTCGCCCAATTAGCATTACAATAGCCTCATAATGACAAGGAACTATTGGAAGGAAACAAAATGCCTTGCTCGGGAGTAGTTTTAAGATAATGGAGTACCTCAAATGGCAGCATCAAAGTGGTGCTTTCTTGATTGATGCATAAATTGACTTAGAATGTGAACTGCATGACTAATGTCGGAATGAGTAATGGTAAGATAGAGTAGATGCCTAACCGGATAGCGATATTGGCTAGGATCTTTACAAATATCACTCGGAGTTCAAAGTAATTTTATGTTGTTGATTTATAAGAATGATGTGGACTTACAACCAAGTAAGGCCACACTTGTTGATTATATCAAGAACATGTTCGCACCGACTTAGTATAATCCTAGCCGGAGAGTGAGCAACCTTAAGATCTAAAAAATACTTGAGTTTAACAAGATCTTTAATGTGAAACTTGGTATCCAAAAATCATTTGAGCCATGAGATTTTAGTAGTATCGGTATTCGTGATGATTACGTCATTAGCATAAATGAGGACGACAATAAAGGAACTAGGCTAGGAAGAGGCAAACAAGGAATGATTGGCAACCAACGATAGTCAAAGATTGACTAAATTTTTGATATCAGCTGTGAGAAGCTCGCCGAAGACCATGAAGAGACTTTTGGAGGTAATAAACACGATACTCCCTCTATTTAATAAAGCCATGAGGAATTTTCATGTAGACTTCTTCCTTAAGATCACCATGTAAAAATGCATTATTAACATCTAACCGATGCAGTTCCTAATTACGCACTAAGGCAATGGTAAGAAACAATAAATTATTACCAATTTGGCAATGGGTGCAAATATTATTTGAGCCATGAGATTTTAGTAGTATCGGTGTTTGTGATGATTCTTCATTAACATAAATAAAGATGACAATAAAAGAACCATGCTAGGAGAGGTAAACAAGGAGTGATTAGCAGATGATTAGAGAAAACCAACGATAGTTAAAGATTGAGTAAATTTTTGATATTAGTTGTGAGAAGTGTGATGAAGACCATAAGAGACTTTTGGAGGTGACAAACACGATGCTCCTCCTATTTAATAAAACCTTGAGGAATTTTCATGTAGACTTATTCCTTAAGATCACCATGTAAAAATGCATTATTAACGACTAACCGATGCAGCTTCTTAATTACGCACCAAGATAATGGTAAGAAGACAACAAACCATTACCAATTTGGCAACATGTGTAAATGTTTCGTAAAAATCAATGCCTTCAATTTTAGTGTATCCTTTTACTACAAGCTTAGATTTGGTCACTCTATAGAACATCTAGGTAAAATTTAATTTTGTAGAACCTTTGAAATCAATGGCACATTTTCCAAGAGGTAGAGATACAAATGTCCAAGTGTGATTTGACTTTGGAGTAGAAATCTCTTTGGCCATAGCAGACTCACTAGTGCTTATGTTATACATACTATGAAAAAGGATGTGGGTTCATCTAGAGAAGAGATGGCCATTAGCAAGGCATTATGAGTGTTGAAAAATTTGGAATAGGAAATATTATGTGATAAAGGATGTACCGTTGAGTGAGTCGAATGGTAAGGGGAGTGCTTAATGATTTGTGTAACGGATGAAGGTAGTAGGTAAGGCGATAGAAACATAATCAAAACCAGATAAGTGCTTGGATAAGTGACGAACTCGAGCTGAAGTTCTAGTTGAAGAAGATGGTAATGACTCATTAATTTGGTCCCGAATTACGAGTCCGGAAGAAGAAAGTATGTTGTGTTAGTTAGTAGGTTGGGCTAGTGCTCGTTGATATTGCTAGATTGTTTAAAGGTGATTGGATCAAGAGGGACATGTCATGCGATATGGGCTATCCAGATTGATAAGGATCCATTAATGAAAGAAGATGACATTGGGCGATGAGGCGCTGGTGGGTCGAATGATGTCGATCATTTATGGATGGCCTATGTAGAATTAGATTGGGTTTGTGTTAGGTGGCCTAGAGCCACTATCTCGTGTGAGTGGGCTATTGTAACAAGGAAGTGAGAAATTTAGCATGTTTTATGGATTGAATATAGGGAAAGATATCTTTAAGAATTAGATATTTTGAGAGAAGTACATCACTTTCGTCGTGCGAATCATAAATTCTATACCCTTTTTAACTATGAGGGTAGCCCATAAAGTTACTCGCTTTGCCATGAGAGGAAAATTTTTCATAAGACTTATTGTAAACATTTCCATATCATAAACAACCAAAGCTTTACAAGGAAATGGACCAAACAAGACCTCATAAGGAATCTTGTTTTGCAAAACAGAGAGTGGCATGCAATTAATAAGGTAGGCTACAATCAAAATGCATTCTTCCTAAAATTTAATTAGAAAATTTGCTTGGATGCATAATGCTCTAGCCGCTTCCAAGAGATGTCAATGTTTGCATTACACTATGCCATTTTGTTATGGAGTCTTTATACAACTAATGTGCTCGATCGTGCCATTCTCAAAATAATAAGCCATCAAATATGAGTGAACAAATTCAAGCCCATTATCAATTCAAATTTTTTTGATTTGGACATTAAATTGTGTATGAATCCAATTAAAAAAAAAGAAGATAAGGCCTAGTTTCTAATTTGTTGCTTCATAAGAAGCACCCAAGTGGCATGACTATGATCATCAATAATCATTAGAAAATAATGCCAATTAGAATGTAAACGAGTGTGATATGGCCCTCAAATATCATAATGCACCAAATCAAAATTGTTCTTGGATTTATTTGTGTGTGTAGGGAAAGACAATCTAGTCCGATTTACCTTACAACAAGAATCACAAAAAAAAAACTTTTAAAGGAATCAAAATATAATAGATAACTATGAAATCAATGATACTCGATTCATTGGTATTGTCCCGAAGACGATGCCATAAGCTTCTTGTATTGTAACCCTTTACATAAGAGCCCTCTTTACCTCCTTTGGTTGCGAGATGATACAAACGATTATGTACTCTACCTACTCTAATCAGCTTTCTCGAGTGTAAGACTTGTATAACACAAAATTCAGATCTAAAAATTAAAATACAATTAAAATCTTGAGTTAATTTACCGATCGATAGTAAATTAAAACAAAAATTAGGGACTCTCAAAACTTTTGTAAGAGTCAAATCATGACCAAGTTTGACTCGACGCAAAGTTCGTACAAGAATGTAGTCTCGTTAGGAGTTTGAATTGGAGGAATAATCACATTTTTATGGACATCAATCATATAATCAATTTACACGTAATATGGTCCTAGCTCTAGTGTCAATGACCCATGAGTTTGGCTTATCGGAGAGATTTTGTGTGGCTATGCTAGTCGATGGGTTTATTATCGAAGGGCTGGACCGTTACCCAAGAAATTGACCAACTGTTATACTCGGGCCGGAGTGAGGGTTTTAATCCTTGAGCTATTGAAGGAAAGCCCACATGATGGTCTACTATTGCTGAAGGGCTAGATGCATACGCACAAAAGGAAAAGCCTAAGTGATGGGCTGGATGCACACGTACAGGGAATATGGGTCTAGTGATGGGCCGATCCCGCTACCGATTTGGCTTGCTCTCTAAAACTAAAATTATAGAATTATTTAGTACCTTATTTATTATCATTGTAGTGATAGTCCCTATAAAAATTCCCGATGATGGCGTCTATCGTTGTCGTGTCTTATCATGCTTTGACTTTGGTTTTCTCGATCTCGGTGAGTAACCAATCAAGGCATAACAAGTCTCCCTTTTATGGTTACCACAATTACAATGGCTAGAATAGGGTCGTGACTTCCTTTGCCTACCATATCTATTCTTAACCGAAAGATGTCTTGGCATTAGAGTGGTTGCCTCAAGAACCGGTGTATGTGAAGTAACAATGTGGCATTGTCTTTCATCTTGAGCAACTAGGGCATAAGCACTTTGAAGCTTTGGTAATGGCTCTACACTTGAAATTTGAGATATAAAAATTTTATAGGCATCATCTAAAACCATTAAAAAATCAAATACTTT